GTGAGGCTGCTTGTGTGTGGGAATTCCCCTCGTGTTCAACATGTGCGTGTGGGTCCAGGGTTTTTCAGCAACAGCCTGGTTTCTTTCACACATCACTAAGATGGAGAGACAGAGTTATTACACCACGGAGAGCTGCCTTCATGGCACAGCTGCTTCAATGGTCAGGCACAACGGGCCAGGCTATTCATTAGACCGGCATGTTACTAAACCAGGGATATGGTTTATGGGACAGTTTCGTGCGGAGAGAGAGTCAGTCTTGATTCATCTGCCATGACCCCAAGCTTTGATGGGATATTCAAAACTTCCATATTCAGAACAGTTAGATGGCTACAAAAAAATAGTGTTTTATGAGACTGAAAAGGGTAATGAAAGAGCATGAGGATGGACACACAGTTAGGCACTGAAATATTCAGGCACTGATACAGTCTCAGTTGCTTGCACATATTTTTAAAGCACAGACTGTAAGTTTTTATTTGCATGATAGATACACCTAAATGGAAGCAGTGATGAAAAAATGGGACCGTTTAACATAGAGTGCTGCAAACTGCTGATCCTAAAGGGATAATTGGAAGTTCTCGTCAAAGTTATTCACTTTAGGAAGAAGAGAGAGAAATATATGTAATATAGAAGCAGCAGCTATGATCCTATAACCTGTAATGGAAGGCAAACATGCCATCATCAAGCTTCAAAAAACAACTTTCTGTGCCATTACTCTTAACACTGGCATCAGCTAGCTTCTCAATGACACTTTACAATGTACAGTACATAATTTTTCAACAGTGAGAAAGCGTTTAAAAATAGTTAGTTGGTAATAAATGGAGATGCACAATTTTCTTTCAGCTGTTAAAATGTTCTTTTAACTACTCTTGTAAAGAACCTTTATTTAAACTAAAGACCCGAAGATAAAAACTTCCAATCTAAATTTGAGTTGGATTTTTTATGGACGTTTGTGAGGTTTTGTCATTACAGTAGGCATGAATGTGTCTTCTTCACTTGGCAAAAAAGCAGTTTTACTTTTTCAATAAAAGAATCCTGTGATAATTTGGTCACAATTGTGAGTTATGTACAAAAAGTTGTTTGTTTTTACCCCATGAGCCACTAATTCACTGCAACGCTTAGACATTTTCTTTGGTTTGGAAGCCAGTTCGATCTTCTATTTAATGAGGCCTTGCAAAAATAGATCATGAGTAAGAAGCTTTTGAGACTTAAAAATATACGACGTACAATCGTAGCATTATAACAATTTTGCTTATTAGAATCTTCATATTTAAACAAATTAAGTGGTACGAAACAAAGTTTTGGTCTAATTAAAAACATTTAAAACAATTACTATCTTCTTTTTTTTTTACACAAAAGCTCTTGATCTTCTGTGTTTTAGAGACAAAGTATTTCAAACTTTGCTAATGAAACTATGTTCTTAAACTAACAAATGAATGATTATCCAACCACAGTATGAAACTTCAAATTAAAGCCATCATAGCACTTTTTTTTTTGTGGTGATATGCAAAGCTTCCTATAGGTGCTGGTGGCATTACTTAGTGGGCAACATGTGATATGCAGCACCAAGACTCTACCAGTGTGTTTTTAGCTTTAGAGTTACAAATATATATCTTATTAGAACCTGATATTTTTTTTTTTCAATTAATGCATTAATAAATCAAATTTCAGAAAATAGCTTCATTTTCTTTCTTTTTTTAATATATACTGAAAATCTAAATATCTAACCTGAATCAGGTTTCAAATGCAGTTACCAGTTGCTAAAAATTTAGTGTGTTTACATTGTGGGATAGCTACATTCACTCCATCCATGGTTCCATTTATGCACCTGATCCTTATCAGCAGAGCAGGACTGCGTAAAGGCATTTGAGAGATGAAAGTGCAGAGAGGAACGCCTGCATGTTTGTTGAATCAATCGCTCCATCTAGTGCCAATCACAGTTATAAGAAATCCTCCAACCTTTGGCCAGTATCTCCACCATCAAAACATGGGCGAATTTTGAACTTGGCACCATACCTAATAATCAAGTCAAGGATCGTTAGGGATGATTGGAAAGGACGAGACATGAAAGAAAATAAGCACACACATTGCAGCTGTTAAAGAGAGCACTTTGCCACTGCACTTCATCTGTGTCCCTCTAATTATACCACTAGGAATAGATCCACAGATCCAACGAGGCGTCTAAACGCGCCAGCCGCCACACCAAAAACTAGAAGCCTCCGGTCCACCCTGTGTAGAGCCTCCAAGACACACAAGCCACTACGGTTTCTTACATAACTCTTCCCAGCCAAAGTTCTTTGGCTTTCCAGGCTCTTTTTGAGTAATATCATTGTTTCCTGCACATTTCTTTTTCATTTTTGCCATGCTGACTTCGACCACTGTGTACAGAGCCTGAGTGGACACAGAGACCAGTAAAGGTAAAAGATTCCTCAGTTAGAGCTGGATTGTGATCAGATCCGAGCGAGGGATAAGAGAGCCCTTACACCATTACATAGGCAGCTTTAAAGTAAAGAAGAAGAAAAGCTTAAAACAGTGTAGCAATCATAAAAAACATGTGTTTAGATTACTCCAAACCCACCATTTGTGCAGGGAGTTTCAGAGTAAATGAGTTGGAAAGATTAAGCGTGCTTTGATGTTGAGAGGGCCCTACTAAGAGCATCGAAGTAGATTTGTCATCTTACTGACAGTGCTGTAAAACAATTGTAACCTACACGTGTGCAGAATCAGAGCAAATAAAGGTGTGTCTCTGAATGATTATTGTCTGTATATTAAGAAGATTATTATGTAACCAAGAAATTTAATGAAAAACCAAACAGCATAAATTGAACAAGGAGTTAGTTGGCATAGATTTGGGCCAGAGGCCTTTATGGGACTTATCACCCAGAAATAGCAGTAGCATTAATTTTCTTTTACTTCCGGTTCTGGATTTCTTATCTCAAACATTATCACTGACATTTTCCTATAGTTAATTTAGAACAAAAATATCAACTTTGTCTTTTAAAATATCTAAATGTATAATTCCTTTCAGGTCAACAAATTTTTCTTCTTTTTTTTTATTCCATATATCTTTCAAACTTTAAACTTCATCACCTTTAAGTTGTTGTTTTTTTTAATTGGATATCCTTGTACAATTATCTAAATAGTATGTGTTTGAATAGTTATCAAATTCAACAGCTAACATAAAGGTATATACCCATTATGTGTACTTTTATGAATAAAACTGCTAATTGGTTGTGGCTCTTGGTTCTATCCTTAAAATGTGTATAGATTAACAACACTGACTGTATGAATGCCAACATTTGTTGTGGCTTTGACAGAACTCATAACATGTCTATTCTCCAACTGAAGCAATTGTAAAGTGAACCAGCAAAGCTATAGCCATACATCATTTGGAGGATAAACTGAACTAACATCCAGATGCAGTGATTTTACACAATTAATCCTCTAATATGTTGCAAAGTCTCGAAAAAATGTTTGATTATTACAATAAACCCATTCAAATTTCTATCTATTTGTATATCCAACTGTTTGTAGTTTGTCTTGTGTTGAAAAGAGGTTCTACTTTGTGGGAGCTTATTAAGGGACAGGGAAAAGCTATTTCTTTATCAAAAGAAATAAACCAAATAGAAAATACCAAATAGAAAATACCACAAAGTTCCCAGTTGAACCAATCAGTTCAGGTATTTCTGACACAGTTTTATGTTTTCCTAAATATATCATACTTAGGAAAATAAATTCAAAGGCAACTTTTGAGCAGACAGAAAAGTATTTCTGGCTCACTGTTCTCAAGAACTTTAAATGATTGACTAAGATGTGTTTTTGAATTTATATGAGCAAAGGTTTAGACAGTGCAGTCTGGAAAACTTGTGTTACCTCTCTGTCTAAATTCTAATTCCATCCCTACTCAGACAAAGCTGCCGAGTTTGTTATATGTACAAGTCAGTAAAGGATTCTTGAGCTTAGAGGTCATGGGGTTAGAGTCATCTCTCATCAGCTTCTTTATTAACTTACACACACAAACACTGCAGGAGTAATAGGAAGATCCACAAAATAAGGGGTCGCACACACCAACTTCTGAGGTTACCCATTATAATACAAACAAAGCATCTACTGTCCTTTTTTGGGGGGGAGAAAAGTGCATCAATAAAGATGTTCACATTGATGCAGACACTTGTAGAGTTAAAATAGATTAATCTCATGTTCAGTATAACTATAACTGCATTGGCAATTCAGAATTTGAATCATTTGCTTCAAAAACAGTTCCTTACATGGTTGGTATTTCCATATTTTCTTATTTTTGCTATTTTTGAAGAATTTAACATTTAAATTTGCTTGAACATAACTACAAAAATAAGCAATATTCCTGAAGTAATGGACGTCTTTAGCAAAAGTCCATTATACACAAGCAGACAATTATTTTTCTTTCCCCAGCTTGCCCTTCGGTTCACATTGACCCACTTTTGCTTGTCAATGCTAGCTTTGTGTAGTCTAACGGAATGAACAAAATTAGGATCATTAAAACAGCTATTAGTTGTGAAATTAAAATGCCGTCAACAATTTGACTACAATTTTTTTTGGTAAGGTTCAATATTGAGCCATAAAAAGCTGTTTTTTAAAAAGTCATAGTTAGCTTGATCAAAATTACTACACGAAGGTGGAATGAATCAGAGTTTAAGAAAATGTTTGGTTTGATTTAAGTATTTTTCTTTGTCATTGGACTTGGAATTCAGTAAGTTGATGAATATCACATACACAGTATGTTATACAAAGCCTTTCCCATATGGATTGTTTTTCTTTTAGAAACTATGTATAAAAATGTGGTAGTGGGGGAAAAAAAAGTTCAAAACATTTATCATATTTTCAAGGAGAATCCACACAACTGTTGTGTAGGTTAATGAGTTCCTGGTTGCTAAATGAGTTCAACACAACTAAGCTACGTTTAAACAAAAGTGTAATATATCCGGCCCTCTGTCTTCTCAACTTGCTCCAAGTCTCCCCTTTTCTTATAAAAAAATAAATGTGTATGTGCAAAAGTTTGTCAAAGTGTGTGTGTATGAGTGTGCCTCACCACTGGGGTTGAATTGCATGCAGGATATGGGTTTGTCATGTGCTGGGAAGTGAGCCACCACTCCCTCTCCGTCGGACTCCTCACTCACCAGGACCTGCAGTTTGGGAGACAGTACACACACACACACAAAGAGTAAAAATCATTTTCTAACAATGAGAACATTAAACAAAAAGTGGGACTTTCCCATGTTTTCTTCACATTTGGTCGGTGCGAAGTCATCGCACCATTGAACACTGTTCTTTGAAATCACACCAAAACAAATTCCCATTCCCAAAGTCCCATTGCCATCCAATGGATGAAAACGAGAGAGGACCTCTTAAATATCTGCTTTGGCAACGAAACAGAAAGTGGGAATCACTGTAATCCAAGCTACTTTTTAAAGTACGTTCCTTGTACTGGCCTGACAGCCAGTTCAAGGTATGGTAAAGCAACAGATTCATGAATGTGGAAACTCACTTGGTGATGTGGCTTTTCCATGTGTAACTGACAATTGAGAGATGATTCGCCCGTGAACAGAAAGAGAATGGATTCAAATTTAGCACCAAAGAAATGTAACTATGTTTCTTTTTTAAAACGCTTTGCACTCCTAGAAGTTGAGCCTGAATCTTGCAGACACGTCTTTGCCAATATTTAGAAAAATAGGAATTGGTAAAGGAAAAAAATACACTTAAGCTTACTTAAAAAAAGATTAGAAGTAAAGCAAGGATGAGGCTTCTGTGTGCATAACCTTGTATTTGAGGGAGCAAACATTAGGATAAGTTCAAATTTGGTTCCAGCGTTCCATTAATGTCACAGAGGCTGCATGCGCATGAGAAACTTAAGCTGCAAACAGCAGGCAGCATCTAAAAGCGAAAGACTCTCATCAGACATCTCAAAGTATGAGCTATAGATAAGCAAAGAAAAAAGGAAATGAAAAAAGGGAGAGAACAGAAAGAAAAGAAAGAGTCTGGAGACATGAAGCAGATCTCTTATAGTGTAGGGAGACAGTGTTTTTCTGTGAGGGGATCCCGCTAGAGCCCTTTGAAACTAGAGTGTCCTCCAGAGAACTCGGTCTAATATACAAGGGGAGAGTGTGTGCCGGTGCCCCCCCTCCCTTCAGTGTTTATGGCCAGTGTACGGTTACAGTGTGTCAACTAGTGACAGAGTACAGGCCTGCTTCTGAAGGCTTAGGTCTAGCTTATGAGACATCACACAAACTACAGAGCGGATACAGTCACTGTGAAGACAGTGAGTGTATATGTAGTCAGTACATTATTGACTGACTGTACCATGTACACAAACGCCTCATTAAAAACACTGCATTTTGTACAGCATGATTAATTACAGATTGGAGTGGGAAACAAGAATAAGGGGACCTTTTTAGATTTTCAAACTGTAATCATATACTGGCTTGAATTTTTCATTAATCTAAGGTTGAATCACACAGAAAATAAACCTTGTGCAGTCAATTGTAACAAAAAATGTTCTAAAAATCTGTTGTGTTTTCTTAATACAAAATTTTGAAAAGTAAGAAGCTAGTCAAATGGATTTCTTCTACTCACAGGCACAACTTGAAGACAGGCTTGGGAATGTAGATTTGCAATCAATAGTGCACATCTTAGCACTTACTAGATATAAGACATATGAAAATTTCCCAATATGCTGAAACAATAAACAAGCTACTTACAATCCATTTATACTGCAATGTTATATGTCATGACATGGACAAACATAAGGTCAGCATGACTGATGAGGTAACCTGTAACCTTCCTTTGGAATTGTGATTTCCCTTGTTCACGAGGAGTCACAAGCTTACAATAACACTGGCTACAATAACTTCATCCAAGTTTACAGATGACCTCATTTCAGACTTAATTTTCAGAGAAAATCTATTTAAAGGACAAAGCATTGCATGATTTAACAGAGGTGAAATGTAGCAGCAGAAGAAGACACAATAACTTCCCAATCAATCTTGGTGGGTAATACCGTGAGTTGGTTCACACATTTTATAAGTGAATGGCTGACTGGCATTTTTTTTGTGTTCTAAAGGTGACTTGTGTCTACCCTGTGCTGCCTTAACCTTAATAGTCACTTGCTCTCTTGTCGTTTTCATTACTCGAACAGATTTAGTCACAAACACCTTCAAGAATATGGTATTTCTGAACAACACATATGCTTTATTACCACCACATTTTATTATTGGTCTAACACCATCCATCATTTACACCACTTACTCCAAGTGGGGTCGCGGGTGGGTTGGAGCCTCTCCCAGATGACAATGGGCAAGAGGTGGGGTACACCCTGGACCGGTTGCCAGTCCATCGCAGGGCCACACAGAAAGAAACAACTGCCCATACTCACATTCACTACTATGGGCAATTTAGATTTTCCAGTTAACCTAACATGCATATTTTTAGAAGTGGGAGTAAGCCGGAATGCCCGAAGAGAACCCACACTGAGACAGGTGGAACATGCAAACTCAACACAGGCTATTGCTGTGAGGCGATGGTGCTAACTACCCCATCACCATGCCACCCTTGGTTTTATAGATTCCGCTAGTTTTTTGTTTTGGTTTACAAATAACACAAAAAGACAAGCAATTATTTGTTCCAGGAGAAAATACAAAAATACTACATCATATATTTTACAAAATATAGATTGTAATGTTTTGGACTCAATGTTTTGTCAACTATGACAAATGTGGAAGTTCTTTTGCGGTGAACAAGTTTTGATCACACTAAGGGGCAGATGGGTTTGAAGGCACAACAGGTCTTATATGTGTTTTGTGGACTTGGACAAAGCAATGTTTCCTGTGGGGGGTATGAAGTCAGTCTCATCTCTAGTGTGTTCAACTCTGGAGGGGCCTACACTAGTCATTGATTCAGTTCCGAAAATTTTCAGGCAGAATTTCTAGGAACAGCAACGAATCCGAAGACCACTATTCAGATTGAATTAGAACTATGTTGTTGCTTTTTGCAAATGATGTGGCTAGGCTTCATAGAGTTGAGACTTCCAGCAGACATTAAGGAAGTTTACCGATAAGTAAGAAGCAATCATGACAAGAATGAATATCTTCAAGTGATAGCCTACGGTACTTTCTTAATAGAGAATAGAGTACACTTTCTATGATAGTGGTAACTGACTACCTCAGGTACAGGAGTTTAAGTATACTGTTCACAAGCAAGAGTTTAAAGGAGTAGAAGATTCACATGTGGACTGGGAGCAACATCTGCAGTGATGTGTATAACACTTGTTATAAAAAACAACAACAAAAAAGACAACAAAAATCTTTATGAATCTACTTTTGATGTTCTCATTTGAACAACTTTACAGAAAATCCTACATATCTCTGGACGTGATACAATCTCACATAAATGGGTTGACACAGCTGTGCTGCCCATTGCATACCTTATCGAAATTATTCAAGCAAATTAGCAAATTATACCGAGCTAGACACAAATCGGAAATTTACTGTCAATCCTATCCAATAACAATAAGAAATTACTGTAAGTATTCATTGGAATAAGTATATTCTGCTGTACTCTAGTTGCAAATTGTGGCAAAGGTATTTTACCTATTTCATGAGAAATTAGTTTACTTCAGGTTTTCCCCTAGGAGTGAATTTGTGTGTGTTTGTCTTTGTGTGGCCCTGCGATGGACTGGCGACCTGTCGAGGGTGTACCCTACCTCTAGCCCCAACTGGGAAAGGCTCCAGCCTCCCTGCGACCCCAATGGGATTAGATGGTATAGAAAATGGATCGATGGATGTTCCAAATCATTCCAAAAGTACCGAATGAAAATGTAAAATGAAACATTTAACCAACCTGTCCTTCACCAACGCCGTTCATATCAATGATGGTGACCACACCAGGGATGTGAGGGCTGCGGCGGCTCGCGCTGTGAGGTGTGCTTTCTTCATCTGGCGTTCCTGCTGGTAAAGTGCCAGCCAGTTGTGTAACAACTTTCCCCACCATTGTTAGGCCTGTTTTTAAAGTCTGTAAACACAAAGAGAAAACATTAGAAGTGTGTTTGTGATATAATGCACACTCCACAATAATACTTTCTATATCTGCCTGGGCTGAAGCCATTTTTGTGTCATACAAATCAGAGGAACTGACAAGTACAAGTGTGTGTGTTCGACATCATGTTTGTTTTTGAGTAAGCATGCGTCATGATCATTTGATGCCTTCTGATAATGTGTACTGCTGATTACTCGAAGCATTGGAGCCTCAGGAGACACCACATGTGTGGGAGGCTCCTCTGTGTCAGCTTAAGGCCCAGCCAGGGTGTCTGGCTCAAACGCACCTCTGTGGCTTGATTGAGGAAAATGGATAGTGCTGCTTAAGTGGAGTCTATCTCACCTACTACACTGTCTTAGTCTAATGGAGTCCAAAGCATGTGACTGAGTGTCTCTGTGTGTGTAAGCACCAAAGGGGCCCTGGAGAGCCTAATCAAGCATTCAGACTAGGCAGCCCTGTCAATAGAGTGTGGCGCCTCTCGTTTGTTGGGTCTGAGGATCACCTAGTGTCTCTCTCTGCCACTTGGGCAGGCACACTAAAAGTGTCTGCTGCCTGTGTGGATTTGTGTGTGTGTGTAAAATGCAAGAAAAGCCATCAATTATTAAGTGAGGCGTGTGGCCCCTAATTGATCAACACTAATGTGTTTTCTAATCACTGCAGTTGTGGAGTTCTCCGTGGCAGTCCAAACAGGGACTATTGATTTGCTGGTAAGATGGGGGGGCTCTACAGACAGATCATGTCTAATGGTTGACAAAAAACACATACATAATCTCTCACACACATGGCAACAGCTTGATGTCACCATTGCAGCACATTTCAACATCATTTATCTGAAATGTCTGTCTCAGCCATACACTCAGAAGTTATTGGCAACATGCCTGATGGAATATCCAGATTTCCTGAAAAGGGAAAAAAAATCCACATCTGTTCAGACTTCTTCCTCTCTCCATTCCATCTTTCTTAAACAATGGCTATTAGAATTCCCTATCTCTTTCATGTCTCTGGACATCAGCACTAAGGGCCAGTGTGTCGCGCCACAAGCCAGAATGAGATACCTTGTCATCCATATGAAGATACATAGTCCTAAAAGAGAAGAGGGTGAGCCGGAAGACTGTCTTTCTTCATATCAATACCACCAGCCACTGCCCAGTTTATGCAGTACTTAAAACCTCCTAGTGACACGAAAATATTTTTAATATGTACTATCATTCACTTGCAAATAATACCTCTTACACAATAGCTGTTAAGTATACTTAGTCTTTGTAAATCAATGATTCATTCCTATGACGCCCGAAGGAAAAATACACTAAAACCATATGAGAAAAAAGCTAGTTAGCAAGTGCTGTCAAGCAACTAAATCAGGACAAAAATAAATTCCAACTGGTATCAAAGGAAGCTTTTGGCTGTTAGTGAGTCATCTAAGAGTCACTCTCCTGTGGCGCAGCACTGTGATGAAGTGTCTCATAAGTTCAGCCCCCGTCAGCCAGGCGGGCCAGGTGGATCCTATGTCAATAGATTTACAAATGGTGTTTGCAGAGTCGGAGATACTGTATTTTGTCTTATTTTATTCGATCAAAGGATTATGACTAGAGTTCATGAAAACCTGATAATAGCAAAGGAGCTAATCGTCTGTAAGCCCAGAGAAAATAATATGTTACATTAGGAAGGTAGCAATATTATGGATGCCAAATACACCAACCAAAATCATGTGACTGCCAAGTTTAAAGAGATTAAGAAAGAAAAATTTTGTTTTTAATACGATTGTGAGGTCGAAGCAGCTATTGAAAACACTGAGTTAGTGTTTAACGTTGCAAGTCTCTTCTGTAAATGCTCTGCAATGCAGTGTAAAGAACATCAGTGATAGTAAAAGCTGCTCTCTACACAGATTCATGTAAATATGTACCTCTATGGTTGTTATCTGGCTTAGAACTTTAAATTTGCTCAAACATCAACCCTGAACCAGCACTGAAACTACTTTTGTCCAATAGGGGAAACGAAGATGAAGACATGCATATCCCTGTATATTTATTTGTTATTCAAACACATTTTGACATCCTGGAGCAGAAACTTTAAGCAAAAGAGTGTATAAAGGTCTGCCCAGAGGACCTACACACAATGAATAAGGGGTAGCTGGCAAAAGAGGTGAAATTTATTAGCTCTGAGCGTATATAACTGTTTGCCTAGAGTCATAAAGCAAAATATTGCTGCTGCATTTGGTGGGACATGGATATTTAGCTGTTGAGCACACGCATGGGGTGCATGAATGGGATAAATGGGATAAATATTTGGTCTACTCAACATTAACATAACTTACTTATCAGTATAACTTGTAAAAATAGGTTACTGACCGAATTAGGAATACTTACAGCTGATGATAAAAATGTATTTTAGAGATTATAGAGAAAAAAAAGTTGGTTATCAAATTCAAATCCATAAATATGTCACAGAACATATTCACGGTATGAGAGTAGGACAGAGCACAAAACGATTAATGTATGGACCAATATAATGCAAGCATAACTGAAGAAACAACTGTTTCCTAATTGACTTCAGGTTTGTTTGTTTTTTTGTGCAAATGAAAGAAATGTAGTTTAGACCATGAGAAATCACAGCATAGTCTGACTTAGTGATCGTTACAATGTAGCTGATCCATCACCTAGCAGCAAAAATCCCAAAGTGGATGAAAATGCCATAGAATAGCTTTTTATACAAATAGTGCCTCAGCATCATAAACAAATTGTGCCTTAAATTTAACAAGATCACACCTGGGAAGTGGCACAGTCTGCTCAGAAAGCACTCATCTCTCACTAAGCAGATCAAGACGATCTCTTAAAATGGGATCTCTGCAGGACGTATGGTTTGCAAAATCTATCACAGATGTCATCAATAAGTTTTGACTCCAGAAATTATGCATGTCTGCTACTAACTAAACATAGTTCTTAGTGTGTAATTATCAATTTAGAGGGGGGGGGGGGGTGAAACAATTCATGCTTTGGCGCCAAAATTCCATTTTGCATATTGAAACACCAGGGTCAGTGTGTTAACATGGTCTGAGTTGTGCATAATTTACACATATTCCTATGTTGAAAAGTTGCACTTTTTGCGTAGCTATGTTGTCATGAACTCGTTACATAGACGTTTATGTATAGGCACGGTTGTTAAATAAGAGGCCCTGGTATTTCATATTGTTCCAGTCAAGTTGGCCTCTTGTCTCAAAATGATCATGCATGCGTTTGTTATTATCACCTGAACACACTTATTCCAGGGTCCAAGCATTTCAACTAAGTTTGTAATTTGTGTATGTGAAAGCCATCCAGGAATTTTCAGAGCTACTATTTACTTCACACTATTATACTATACTATTTACTGAATGTACATCCAGAGGGTTAAAGAGCTTTATTTATTTTACGACACTTTTAAAAAAAGTCACCACTTTTAATGCCGTGGTGTTCTTCTCACATATAATTTCCTGTTAATTCCAAAGACTGGTAGTAACAACTTTTTGAAGGAAAAACTAGTTGTTGATTATGATGTAAGAGTTACTTGAATAAGGAAAAGTGTATCATCATATTTCTTAATGTTTTATTTTACATCTAACACAAGTCAGACTTTACTGTTAACAAAACGGTAAACTTTCCTATGCATCTGTAAAAACTAAAAACTAAATAAAAAGAAATGTAAATTATGGGTTTTGAGTTAGGGCTGCTCATGTTTTCTTGATTTCTTTTTTCTTTTTTACCTGTTCTCTTTTGTAGTTTGAAGAATTCATTATACAAAAAGGAAAAAAAAAACAGGTATGTGTGTGTATTTAATTTCACTTACTTTGGCAGCATTGATCACTGTAGCTGTATAAGACTGTGCATTGTCACCACAAGCTCCTCCATGAGACTGATGACATCTTATCAACTGCAAGAGACAAAGCTTACTGTGAAATATTGAACAGATGGTGAGATGGCACGAGATTCACAGAGACAAAAATCTGGAGAAATGAACTCAGATCCAGACATTAATACAGCTCCAATCTCAAGTCTTTGTCAAGGAAATGTGTTTTGTAAAGAAAAAACTACAAAAAACCAAACAGCCAATCTGTACTGATTTAATTTCAAATACAATATCACTTTAAGAGCTCCGAACCAATATTACTCTTGCTGTTCAAAACCCTAGATTTCGTCATTTCTGGAAATCCTGAGGCAGTCACACAAACAGCAGTCCCATCTGTCAATTACTTGAGTGGGCCAGCACAAAACACAGTTATGCATTAAATGTATTGCAGAGTAGACAACAGAACATTCAGTTTTTTTTGTAAATACTTAACAATCCCATTAAACAGAAAATGCTTGTGCATCTGTTGATTTTCAAAATGTTTTCATCTTTAGTGCACTCTTCTTGGAATGAGTTGTTTATCCAGACAGATTAAAGAAGCAGAAAATAGATTTTTAAAAATGCTTTTTTTTTTAAAAGGTAAACATGTCATTGCTCTCAGATAAGGCCCTGCTGGACTAAATGACTGTGTGTGTATGTGTAGACCACCTTGTTCTCAGCGTAGGCAAGCCAACGGCTTCCAAGAGCTATTGGATTGAGGCAGGGTCCAGGACAGGGATAGCAACCTGTCAAAACATGACAGTGGTTTTACTTAGTGGAAAAAATACATTACATTGAGTGAAATAAAGAATATAAGCATATATCAACATTCATACACATTTTGGTAAGCAAAGAATGATAAAAGAGGTATATGTATATTTTCATATAGAGTCTCTATCTTTACCCATTACTGTATTTATGGATTTTCTCTCTTGTTTGAAAGATAAATGGGAGTTTAATGAGGGTGACACATCTGTACGTGTTTGTGTTTATGCCAAGGATGACCTAGTGGAGGTTCGTATATATATATATTTACACAAACACAGAGACAGCAATACCTGTCATGCGTGTGGCAAAAACAGAGTCTACTAGAAATCTTAAAAACAGAGCTTTATAGTATAATCTTAAATTATATCTTTACATGCATACAGATAGGCTCTGAAATCCTGTTGGATTCAAGTAAGCCTACTTCAGAAGGCAGCCAAATGTAATCTAGTCATGATCAAAAGTGCTGTGTTCAAGTACATGGATGGGAACCTCACCCTCAAACATATGCATGCAGAACTTATACCAATTAGGAGAATTGGCAAACTGGCAATAATTTAGTGCTCAGAGAGCAAATGAGCTGGAAGCAGACGCTGATCTAGAATGCTCTGCTGGAGAAGGGGGTGATGGGGAGAGGGTTGTTGAGGTTAGCCACAAGGGCTCCTGGTAAAGCAAGAAGCCTTATGTGCATTTCAAGGCTAAAGGGAGCCCGGCGAGGAGATAACATGTGTTTAACATCCTGGCTGCAGAACAGAGCGCTGGACAGGGACAGATAAGATGAGCAGAATTAATAGGAAGCAAGGCCCCTGCTTTTGAAGGCTGAGCTGTAAGAATTCTGCTCTGATATTACGTATTTAAGCATTTCATTTTTCAGAAGTAGTGGACATGTATTTGTGTTGAAGTACTAACAAAGGGTCCTAAGATTATTGTATTTATTTCTGTCACCGCCTGAAGAAAAGCACCAACTTTTGTGCACCCGAAGCAGTCATGGTAACAAACTGTGCGGAAGTCATTGCTTTCCTTACTTACTTAATATGGAGTCAATGATTATTCCAAACAAGTCAACAAGTATAGAGCGTATAAGTGAGACTGACCTATGTGTGTGAAGACAGCCTTGCAAATGGTTCCATTTATCTATAGTATAGTAGTAAGGAACTACAAAAAGCTTGGATTTTGCACTGAAAGTTGTTTGTTTGGTATTTCATTTGACACTTTTTTTTAATAAAACAATTGAAGTAGCTGTAAAGGTTAGAGGTTTATAGTTACTCATTTTCAAATGTAAGGCTTGTATACTATTTAAATAAAAGGGCAGTATTATGTATAATAGCAAACATATCTTTTAGTCCAGAATGAAACTGGATCACACAAATACAGAGCCCTTAATAATTAAAATGCATAACACCAAGATCTGTATGGGTTATGTGTTACAAACAAAGCTGTAAAGACCAAAATGTGCTATATGAGTGAAAGGCCTGATTAAGAGAAAATGAATGTTAAGAACATAATAAAGTAGTTCTTATGTCTAAACTATGTTGTGAAAAAGGCACGTGACAAAGGTACAGCAAGAAAATAAAAAACTCATTCTAAAGCTAAAGATTTTAAAATCAAAAGTAGCACGCAGTGGTAGTTTTGACTTTTTGTCAATAGGTTTCTCATGGAAGATTGTGGCCATTAAGTAAAATAAGAAAATTAAATTTGAAGCACGGTAAGGTTTTAACAATTTTTATGTTACAATTTAGTGGATTAAATATCTCTTAACTTTTAAAACCGTGTCTAGCATTTACAATAAGAATAAGCATTTCTGAGGCATAAATCAAATTAGACATCCCTTATCTAATGCCAAAGCTTGTACAGTGCAGTCTTCAGAACATTTTTGTGTTGGATTGACATTTAAAATTAGATAATAATATTCAATGACAAAGTGTTTCTCTTTCTATTTTGTATCTTATGATCTTGGTACAAAACTATAGCTAAAAGATAAAAATATGTTTATGAAGAGTAGACAAAATCAAAAGATTACAATCTCAGAACAGTGTTGGTTTAAAAACACAGACTCATGAGAGTCAAACTAGTTAAAGATGGTTTGGAAAAAATCAAAGAAAGAAGAAATTATTTCAAATGTCCATTTCACAAAAAACTGAAATTAGAGAGACCAATCACAATCATCAAATGCAAAGATAAAATATAAACTTACACCTAAATAAAGTGCTGGCTAACATGAAATACGCACCATGGTATCTCAAGAGAAAAAACGGGCATGCAGTGACAGAAAGGCTTATCCAAAACAGATCCTCTGACATCAAAGGAGCCTTTGTGTACTGCTTTTATGGACAAAACAGACCAAACAACATTATGAAAAGGAGGCCCTTGCATTCAGAAAACGATTAATAACTATTGAGCATGTTTGGTTTCCTGTTGCTGAGACGCTGATAGGGAAGACAGGCAGACAACGAGGAGACACATTAAAGCCAGCCAGTAAGGTCAGTTTACTCCAGTCAATGACTTAAGTGGACAGCAATTGCCTTGTAATACAGTCTGGCATTTCTTTCACAGCCACCTTGAGCATATATTGGAGGAACAACCAGGAGGATGCAAGAGTTGCCTTATGAACAGGCTTTCTCTTAGGCCTGAAATGATGTCCTGAAATCAGTCGTGTTGACCAGTAGCAAAACAGTAATAGTAATGCCAGCAGTTCAAGCATATCTAGGGAAAAGTAAAACTGGCCAAAGAAAATTATAGGATTTGAAAAAGGTACACAGTGCCATTGCTGCATGTAGAGCTCTTTTGAAGATGTAAAGAAATGTTAACATAATGCAAAACCTTAGGTTCAACTTCAGACATAGCTAAGTCCTGGTCGTAGAAATTCAACTAATTGTTTTAACTGGTTCTTTTGCACAACACTACAATTCATTACTTGCTTGTTAATTGCATAAAGAGACACTTACTTGTAACGAAGAACTTCTTGGTAAATGTGCAGCTGTCAAATGCTGCAATTTTTTCTTGAAGGCTCACTACAAGAACGCTGTGGAATTGAGAAAACAATGTAAATGTCATTCAATTAAATCTGCATATGATCAGAAAATAACAGTTTTTGCCAGATCAGTGAGACCTACTGTTTGTTGCAGTGGAGATCGTAGATTGGCGTCTTGAACTGAATTGATTTAACCATTTCCCCCGTCCTTAAAGAATACAAGTCGGCACAACAATATGGTGGGCTTGTTCTGAGAAAATAAAAGAAAGAAATGTGCATAGTCTGAACAATTAATACAGCACTCAAGTACATAATGATATCAAATAAGAATATCAAATATAAAAATACTTTTTTAGGAAGCATGCACGACTTTGTAGTAACCAGATCAGATACTTTACCAGTATGATTAAAATGATCATTTAATTAGCACTGTGATAATTTGGGCTCCATCTTTGTCAAGAAAAAGCTATTAGTTCCAGTGCTTGTCTGAGGGATTCACTTTTCATGTACATATATAGTACTACTGCACACAAACAGTAGATAATATATTGAAGCTTTTTTTTTTTTTATCCTGTCCCACTGCCCTATATATATAACAAAAAATGTAAAAAGTAAGACGAATACATATGCAATATAGCAAAATAGGTATATGAGTTTATATAAAACACATCTAGAAGAACCCTGTCTATCATCAAAGGCAAAAAGTGGGTTGTGTGAGCAAGCTTCTTTAACTGTAAGCAATGGCTGCGGGCTAAGGGAAAATTCAGATATAAATCTTAATCAAGAAAGACCCCACCACAACCACTTCCCCCTATCCCATATGCCCTCTCTCTAACTCTGCGAGGAAAGCTTTTACCAATATTCTATGATGAGGCCTTGGGTGCCACGTCTGCCCAGAATACAGGGTAAAATGTAGCCTTATTTTTGTATTTTGAACCATAGTAGTAAGTGCTTTCAACAGCCACTTTATTCTCGGAAATACAGAGTTGAAATGTGCAATTCATCAGCACAGAGATTTTATGGACATCTCAAAGGCAATGGTTGGATCTAAAAATACGGTGAATGTCAAAGCACAATGAGGCGCTTTTGCAATCTTAGCGACTCACAATTTAGAAATCTTATGAAAGCAGTTTCAGATTAAAAAAGACCAAATACATGAATAACATGACCACAATAACAAAGTGCAAACATTAATTGTTGTATTGTTGGCTGAAAGCAGTGCAAGGCAATGTTAGATATGCATGTTAACAGTGGACAGCTATGGCCTCATTACTTCAGGAAATCTGAACATTACTTGAATGAAAAGCTCATACGGGGAAGACTTTGATCCATTACAAGATTGCGGAGGATCTCAGCTCACCTAAACATCCCAGCCACACAGCCCATCCAACTGACCTATGCCTGTGTCTTTTCGGTACAGAAAATTGGGTACGATACATTGGCGTAATGCGTTCCCACACAGAACTATTTGCCAACCACTGTGGTTACCCATGTCAGCTTTGTGAACCCAAATGCAATGCAACACAGGTGGTGGCTACCAGAAGTTATGGATAACGACCGTGAACATTGAAACGGTCGAACACTATTCCTATTGGCTGTACTCAGAGATACAACCATCAGCAAATATTAACTTTTTTTTATGGATTACACTATTGCATTATCCATTCATTTTCTATACCCGCTCATTCCTAGCAAGGGTCACGACAGAGCTGGAGCCTAACCTAGCTGTCACTGGGAATGAGGTTGGGTACATCCGGTCCAAGTCCTCAGTCCAACAGAGGGCTTTCGCGAGACACACAACCACACATGCTCTCACTTAGTCCGTACGTCAATTCAGAGTCACCGATTAACCAAACTTGAATGTTTTTGGAAGGTGGGGGGAATCCCGAATGGTATTATACCACATTGATGTTTTTATGTAATTTTTTGTCATCATATTTTATTCATTTGGGAATATTTTATTTAGCGTAGAATGCACTCCCAGCAATTTACTATTTTCCATGTTTCATTTTTTAAATTAGGATAAAGCTGCTCCTGTCTACACAACAAATTGGCAGTTCTGTGTTTTATATTTCTCCTGACAAAGAATGAACAACACAAGGAGCAGTAACGGCCCTTTACAGCTCCTTGTGTTGTCCATTCCACCTATGTACTTGGAGGCTTAACATTTAGGATAACAAAACGGAAAGAAGTTAGCCAACTATGAGAGCTTCCGAAAGATCCAATGAGTTAGGAACTATTAAACAACAACTCACAGCTTTTGCTATCTGACTATGAAGGTACATAAGACAGACTGAAGTCAAGAAAAAAATATCACGTTTTCCACTGAACATCGAATATGCCAATGTAGCCAAGGCAGCCCCCCATATTTAGAGCTTTTAGCATTTTCAAGAACATCTTAAATGTTTAAGCATTGCTGTATATACAAGGTATGTATAAATTAAATAAGTGAAAGCAATCTCATGTACTAGCAAGCAGCAGATCACTAGGAGCTTTTAGTCTGCACCGACAATCTTCGCATTTGAACACTTTTCTATGTAATTCTGTTAGAAAGATGTGTGTGCAGCTTTCAAATCTTTTCAAAAACACATCAAACAGAATTCAAATCACATCACAGGAACAAAAAGAAGTAGTCAGCCAGTTGCCATCAAAGTTAACACAAAATTTTCCAAATATCATATAAGATGTATGTATGTAGTTTGAGTTATAATTCATATTTGGAAGGCAAACACACCTAGACATGCTTAATGAAATATCAGCAAAAATAATGATGTCCAGTCTTTTCTTTCAAGCTTGCCATGCATGCAGGCTTGCTAATTGCAGTCTCTTTCCTAAAAATGAATCATAAAATATTTTCCTCTGACGAATGTGTACTAAGCCTTGCTGTGGCATTGTGTGTCTGTACCACTGCTTGTATGTGTCCTCAGATGTGTTCCTCCATTTATTGCTTGTGAATGTATTTTTGGAAGACGATAAAAGATGGGCGAGTGGAAAAAAAGTTTCAGAGGATCCCTGATTCATTTTTCCATTTTGATGTTTAATGTCTCCATCAACATTTCAGAGATCCTTACTCATAGCGACCAATACCAATCAAGAGTACAGGCATTAAGATTAATACAAAAATTGCACACAATGATAATTTACTTTCAGGCGGCTGCATCATTGATTTCAGCATCATCAGAGTCAGATCAATCCAATTCAAAGCTATATCCCGAAAAATGGGGCTCTCAGATTGATTCAAAGGGACAATGATAACCCACTGTTATAGAATCAAAATGGCATAGGGTTCAATTGTTTTGCTTTTGCAGTATTTTAACAAATGACCCAGTTCTAATGGAGGCAATGCAGGGTCAGATGTAATAAGATTTTCTCATGCTGGGGACATTGAGGCATAGGTTGAAAGCAAGGCTAAATCACAATTATCATTATGGATCATGGCAGGATGTCAGTCCTTGCACATGTTAAGGTGACGCCGAGCACCATTGCCCAGCTCAGTAACAGGCCTATTATGGTGGGCCTATTAGATCAATGTGTCAATTACTATTACTCAAACTGGCCCTTGGGTCTGAAAGGAAACTAAAGCAGGAAGATGGAGAAAAGAAGGCATTGCTCGTTTACTTCCTTTGATAGGATGTGAAGTCACTCCAGGAATTACAAAGAAAATTGAGCAGCCTTGCAGATACATAACATTCAAAATGCCAAATAGAAATAAAGGAAAATGTAAGGAAGATAAAAGATGATAAACCATTGTGATTTAACTTACATTTTTTCGGTATTGATACGGTAGGGTTTTAGACTGCAAAATTATATCCATATATTTTTGTACAGGTTTGTTGAAGGAGCACATCCAAATGCATATAACTGAGATAAGTGTAACCTGTAAATTTTCTCTATCAAACAAACCATGAATATGCAGACACATAGGGAAATGACGAGCTTGTAGAATTTAAAATGGCTCAATTTATGTTCAAGGTATCTAAAAAGTTGTTACCTGAGCATATACAGAGCACGTTTTCTGAATGAGAAGGGGGGTATAACTTAAGGGGTCACTCAAACTTCAAGATCCGCAATTTTAGAACAACAAGAAAAAGCTTCTGTATTTCAATTAAAGGTGTAAAGTTATGGAATAAGTTACATGAAGATTTAAAACAAAGCAATAGTTTAACACAATTCAAAAGGAAGTACAAAGAGGTAATTTTCAATAGATACACATATGGGGACAGAAAGCAATAAGGTGTGTATTGAAGATAACAACTTGGTGTAAGGGTTTAGAAAGATAAACCAGCATAAAATGGGAAAATGTATAGGTAAATATTAGTAACTGTTACTTCTGACTGCCACTTTGATTTTGATGATTTTGATTTTTTTTTTTAATGACAGTAGGACTCTAAAGTCTCAAGTGTTTAGGGGTAGGAGTTTATAAGTTCTCACTTCTTCCTACCCCATTTTGAGCATGATATGTTAACTGAAACTAAAAATCTGTATTTTCTTTTCTTTCTGATGCACTTCTTGTTACTGTGCACTATTTTATTTTTATATTGTATCATGTTCGAATAAAGCTACAAAATTGAAAAAAAAAAAGAAAGGATGGAAAATGTCTGAGGCATCCAGCAACTGAGAACTGGTGTAAACAAGACAGGAAGTAAATATGAGAGAATAAACGCATGGGCAAAACCTAAAAAGTAAAACAGGAATAACAATAGAACAAGAATTAAACCCAGAGCAGAGAAACATAGATCATTACCATTTTTCGGGGGGATATAACTGAATACTGTCAAAGGCTCTAGCTGCCACAAAGCTCAAAAGTAAAAGACGGCACTTCCACTGTGATTTTTTATGGATATCTCAGTAAGAAAGTTGGAAGTGACAGAATGTTTATACTTTTCATCTCACAGTTGCTCACATCTGCCAACTTCAGCATTGCTGCATGTCCTGTCTGCCACTTAGTGAAGAAAATGTGGTCAAATCAGCCACCGCATTACTTAGTCGAAGAAACTGAGCCTAAACCTGCAGTGCTCTGAAAGTTTTACCTTAAAAATAAATATATTGATGTAAAGTATTTCTTCTCTGCCCCTTCTAAGGAAAGGATATTGGTGCGGAAAATAACTACTTAATCTAGCTACGAGGTCAGACAGCAGAAGTGGTCAACATACCTTTGCTACCGCCGATAATCACATTCCAATTCAAAGTATGCACAGATGCGGCTGACGCCAATGCGTACTCATCTTTAATCATCCCTTTATTGCAAA